GCATGGAAACCCTGCACCAGAGCCACGCCCATCCCCGAGAGCAGGTGGGAGGAGGCGTGGGCGCCGGGCAAAGCCTGGGAGGTCGAGTGACGGTCCCCGGGACCCGGGGCAGGGACTCGCGCTGCAGGTCACAGGTCGACGCCCCGAGACCGCACTAACTGCCCCGTGAGCGTTCACAGAGCAAGCCAGCACTCGGCCCCCAGTGTGCCCGGCGTTTTCAGTGACAGTGTACCACGGACACATCTGGTCCCCTAGACGGCTGCAGTCAGCTGCAGCAGAGTGTTCAGTATTGTCACAACAATGTTTACAGATCACAGAACTACTGTGATTTTTCCCACCAGCGAGACTGCTCTGCGTGGTCCCGCCTGTCTGGTCATCCCCACGGCCCCTCCCTGCCGAGCGAGGCAGGCACAAGGCCTGCTTGCTGATAGGGACACTTCCGGGGTACGATGCTTAGCGCAAAGACACCCAAGTGCAGAACAGGGTGCTCGACTTTATCTAAGGAATGAAATTAATTAAACATGCACGCAGCAGAAAAAGACATTCTACAAAGAAGACACCTGCACTCGGATGTTCGCAGCAGCACAACTCACAACTGCAAAGATACGGCAACAACAAAGACACGGCAACAACCCATCATTACATGAGCGGGTTAATAAACTGTGGTCTATGCACACCATGGAGTTCTACTCAGCCACGAAAAACAACGGTGATCTGGCACCTCCTGTGTTATCCTGGATGGAGCTGGAGCCCCTCCTACTAAGTGAAGTGTCCCAAGAATGGAAAATCAAGCACCACATGGACTCACCAGCAAATCCATACGGATTGATCGACACTTATGTGCACACAAGGAAACAACATTCTTCAGAAATCAAGCAGGTGGGGGGGGATGGGTAAGTTCACACCTAATGGGTGCCGTGTGCACCGTCTGGGGGTGTAGCTACAACCTGGGTGAGACAAAGGCAATGTATGTCACCTAAACTTTTGCAGGCCCATGATATGCTGAAATAAAAAATGAAATAAAACCCCTTTAATAATTAGGGGTTAATAATTAACAAAAAAGTAAATATGCACAGACACATACATATCTATATGCATCTGCTCATATTATAAAACGGAATAAAAGCCAGAGCTATGACAATGTTACTTACGAGGAGGAGGAGAGCAGAGGAATGGAATCTGGACATATCTGAATGTACCTGGTTCTTCAGTTCTGACCTTGTAGCCACGTGTATGTTTTTACATATTTATAAAACAAAATGTTTAAAAGTAATGTAAAAACAAACCCCCTAATAGAAGAGGAAGGGACACTCCCCAATTTGTCCTTTGAGACCGTATTAATTACCCTAATACTGAAACCAGACAAAGGAATCACAAGAGAACTATCCAACACTGTCGCTTATGGATACAGATGCCAAAATCATCGGAATGTAAAAAATATTGGACATGGTGACCAAGTGGGATTTATCCTGGGAATGCAAGGTTGGTTGAATAGCCAATAATCAACTCATTTAATCACCATATTAATAGATCCAAAAAAAAAAAAAAAAAAAAAAAAAAAACATTTGAAACACTTTTCTCTCAGATAAAATGGCTGAGTATATTAAATTTAGAAAAGTTACCAATCATTAAAAAAAAAAAAAAAAAAAGAAAACACACGATCATCTCACAGATGCCAAAAAACCATTTAACGAAATCCACCATCTATTCTTGTTAAGAAAACACGTGACAAACTAGGAATAGAAAGCCATGTGCCCAACCTGATACAGGACACAGACCAAACCCACGGCTGACAGCCCACGCCATGGGGAGAGACTGGTCTTCTCCCAAAACTGGAAACACACACCAACTCCACGGTGACCAGGGCGGGACAACCTCTGACCATTCCAACCTCTAACCAATCGAAGCTGCACTGGAGCACCCAACCACAGCAGTTAGGCTAGAAAGAGAAATAAAGGGCATCTACACTGCAAGGGAAGTTAAAAGTATTTCTAACTGAAGGTGACGTGATTCTGTATCCACTAAAAAGGTATGAGAATAAATGAGCTCAGAAGGATCACAGCATACAGCATCAACACACAAAAATTAATCGTACTTCCACATGCTTGCAGTGACAGTCTGAAAATTTGCACGTTGGAAACTACAAAGTATTTCTGAAAGAAATTAACGGAGCTATAACTAAGTGGAAAGAGATGCCAGTCCATGGATCAGAAGATTCACCATCGCTAAGACGGCAACGCTTCCCCACACTGGTCTACCGTTTCGACACAATCCCCATCAAAGTGTCAGCTGAAATCTTCGCAGAAATTGGCAAGCTGGTCCTAAAATGCGTAGGGAATAGCGAGGCATCCCAAGAAGCCAAAACGAGCTTGACAAAGAACAAAAGTGGAAGACTCACACTGTCCTATTTCAAAACTTCCTACAAAACGACAGTAACCAAGACGGTGTGGTATACACGGGGGGACGTACACATCTATGGAAGAGAATGCCAGTCCGGTAACAAACCCGCCACCGCAGTCAAGCGGTTTTGGACCTGGGGGCCGAGACCACCCAATGGGGAAAGAAGAGTCTCTTCGACACGCGGTGCTGGGACAACCGGGTGTCCACACGCAAACTATGGAAGCCAGAGCCCGACGTCACGACATACAAATATTGACTCAAAACGGATCAGAGTTGTAAGAGCTAAAACTGTACAACTCTTAGGAAAAAAACAGGGAAAAAAAAATCTTCATGACTTTGGATTTAGCAATGATTTCTCAGATATACAACCAAAAGCACAGGCAACAAAAGGAAAAAAATAGATGAAATGAACTTCATCAAGACTAATTAACTTGATCCTCAAGGGACACTAACAAAAAAGCAAAAAGGCGACCGACCGAGTGGGAGAAAACACTGCACATCGTGTAAGCAGTGGAGGACTTGCGTTTAGAATGTTCGGAGAACTCTCACAACGCAACAACGAAGAGACAGACAGCCCACCTCAAACGCGGGCAGAGGATCAGAACGGACGTTTCTCTAAAGGAGACGCACAAATGCCGACGGGCACAGAGAAGACGCTCGGCATCCTGGGCGTGACGGAGACACGTCCCACACGGCGAGGTGCCCCTTCGCACCCAGGACAGGGTGGCCGCAGTGCCAAGGAGCACGGCCCCCGGGAGCCAGGACCCCGCCACCCTCCCACTGCTGGTGGGGCGGCCGCCCGGGAAGACAGCCGGTCGGTCCTCAAAAGTCACACGGAGCTGCGGCCTGGCCACTCGGCGATCCCAGGCGGGACCCACACGAGCACTCGCCCACAAACGGCACGGCAGCACTGTCCGCGCCGGCCCACGGTGGAGACAGCCCGAGTGTCCACCAAGGGACGGATGGACAAACACTCGCCGGGAGAGTGTCCGGCCACAAAATGGGGTGGATTCCCACACCTCTGTGTCACAACACGGATAAACCCCGAAAAGACACGGAGTGAAAGAAGCCAGCCACAAAGGCTACGTACCATCCAAGTGCACGTCTGTGAGGTGTGCAGAACACACACAGGTGTGGAGAAAGAACCAACGGGATCAGCAGTTTGCTGGGGAGAAGGGACGGAGGGTGACAGCTAAGGGCGCAGGCCTTCCCTTTTGGGGTGATGGACGGCAATGTCCTCAAGCGGACTGAGGTGACGGCCGCACACCCTGTGAATGTGCTAAAATCCACGGAGCCGTGCACCGTCGACGGGAGAAGGGCACGGCGTGCGAGGCACATCCCAGCAGAGCCGTGGCAAAAAGCAAAAGCGCAATCCTAACGCTGGGAACAGAAGGCAGCGCAGGGGTCACGTCCGAACGTCAGAGACTCCACGTGAAGAGAGGGCGGACGTCAGGCTGCCCCCGGAGCCGCAGGGAAAGGGGGTCACAGGCGACTGGCAGGGGACGCTGACGGCCGAGCCCAGAGCACGCCCTGAAGCGGCTCCGCCTCACCTCCCGGCACACGCCAGGGAGGAGCCCCGAGAACGAGCCCTGCCCGCCCGCACGGGGCTGGGGGGCAGGAGGTCGCTCCCACGGGGTTTAGGGAAGCACCAGGCCGTGGGATGACGGGTGAGGACGTTCTCTGCCCCAGCCATTCCTGATCGGGGGCCGGGCGCTGGGGGAACTGGCACGGAACACGGGTGACAGGTCCTGTGTAACACACACACGCACACGTGCAAACGCACCACAGTGGGGAGGGGATGTGTGAGCCCCGGCATGTTCCCACAACAGGAGGGCGCCCGGAAACCAAAGCGGACGTGCAGAATCTCTCACCTGCAGGGACCACAGCCCCAGGCTGGTGCTGTTGAGGAACTGAGGCTGACGCGGGTCAGGGAGTGCAGAGAAAGGCCTGTGCCTCCCTAACGGCTTCCTGAAGCCGCCCGAGCCACCGCTCGCTCACGCTGGGGGCGGGGTGCCATGGAGGCGTCTGTGCTCTCTGACCCCTCAGGGTGAAACCGAGTGCAAAAACCCTCACACCAGGCCGGGTGCGGGGGCTCACGCCTGTCATCCCAGCACTCTGGGAGGCCAAGGTGGGCAGGTCACTCAAGGTCAGGAGTTTGAGACCAGGGGTGGTGCCCTAGTCCCAGCTACTGGGGAGGCTGACGCAGGAGGATCGCTTGAGCCCAGGAGTTTGAGAACAGCCTGAGCAAGAGCAAGAGACCGTCTCTACCCAAAATAGAAAAAAATTATGTGGACAAGTAAAAATATATAGAGAAAACATTAGCCGGGCATGGTGGCGCATGCCTGTAGTCCCAGCTACTGGGGAGGCTGAGGCAGGAGGATCGCTTGGGGCCAGGAGTGTGAGGTTGCTGTGAGCGAGGCTGACACCACGGCACTCTAGCCCGAGCGACAGAGTGAGACTCTGTCTCAAACAAAACAGAGTCGCCCTCGTGTTCCGGGCTCCGGGATTTCAGTAAGCGGGACTCAGGCTGCAAACCTCTAAGGTGACCGCGGGCTGGGACGCGAGCGCGCCACGCTTCCACGCGCGGCCCGGGCACCCACCTTGGCCACGGGGCCCATGCCCTCCAGGGCGGCCCTCTCGTGCGGGAACTGCGCGAAGGCGCTCTCCACCCTGGCGATGACGGCGTCCACGTTCAGCGTCCCCGCGGGCCGCCCGCGCGGGAAGTAGAAGGCGGGGATGCTCTGGCTGGCGGCGGGCGGCACGGGCTGCTCCTTCCTCGCCTGCACCTGCGGGCGACAGCGGACGTCAGAGCCGGAGCGCGCACGCACCCGCCCCGCACGGACGCACGACGCATGCACCCGCCACGGACGGACGCGGGACGCACGCACCCGCCCCGCACGGACGTGCTATGCACGCACCCGCCCCGCACGGACGGACGCGGGATCCACAGGGGCCCGGCCCGCACGGACTTGCGATGCACGCACCCGCCCTCCACGGACGCGCGACGCACGCACCCGCCACGCACGGACAGACGCGTGACGCACACGCACCCGCCTCGCACGGACAGACGCGCGACGCACACGCACCCGCCACGCACGGACAGACGCGCGACGCACACGCACCCGCCTCGCACGGACGCGCGACGCACATGCACCCACCACGCACGGACAGACGCGCGACCCACACGCACCCGCCTCGCACGGACGCGCGACGCACATGCACCCGCCTCGCACTGACGCGCTATGCACGCACCCGCCCCGCACGGATGCGCGACGCACATGCGCAGGCCCGGAGTCGGGTGTGAGTCCAGGGATGCCGGACGACCCCGGAGGCTGACCCCACAGTTGGTGCAGAGGCCGCGTCCATGCGGGGGGGCCCCGGGACCTGGCCACCCCTACCCGGGGTCGCCGAGCCGCACCCAGACCACCCTCCGGCGCAGCGTGGCTGCGGGCCCGGGTGGCCGGGCGCACACAGAGCACGCGAGTCTGGCAGGCCTGCTCGGTCTGCGGAGAAGCCACCCCGGGACCCCCGGGAGGGACAGGGCTGTGGACGGGGGTCACTCGGTGCAGAGCTGGGACCGGGGCTGGGGACAGGGGTCGCACGGCACACAGACAGGGCCAGGGGGTGTCAAATGGCACGTGGGTGTGGATCAGGGGAGGGATGTCACTGAGCACGGGGCTGTGGGTGGGGGTGGGGACAGGGGTCGCACGGCACACAGACAGGGCCAGGGGGTGTCAAATGGCACGTGGGTGTGGATCAGGAGAAGGATGTCACTAAGCATGGGGCTGTGGGTGGGGGTGGGGACAGGGGTCTCAGGGCACAGGGACAAGCTGTCTGGCTGTGGCTCCGGCCCACCCTCTTCTGCCGCTGGCAGGACCCTGTCTGTGCTCACTGTCCCAACCACCACCTCCCACAGAAGGGTTCCTGCATCTACCACCTCGGCCCCAACCTGGGTGGCCTCGAAGAATGGCTCTCAACCCTGCTGTGTTTATTTTTCTCTAAAGACAGAGTCTCACTCTGTTGCAGAGGCTAGAGTGAGTGCCATGGCATCAACCTAGCTCACAGCAACCTCAGTGGGTGGGGTGGCGGACAGGGGTCGCACGGCACACAGACAGGGCCAGGGGGTGTCAAATGGCACGTGGGTGTGGATCAGGAGAAGGATGTCACTAAGCATGGGGCTGTGGGTGGGGGTGGGACAGGGTCTCAGGGCACAGGGACAAGCTGTCTGGCTGTGGCTCCGGCCCACCCTCTTCTGCCGCTGGCAGGACCCTGTCTGTGCTCACTGTCCCAACCACCACCTCCCACAGAAGGGTTCCTGCATCTACCACCTCGGCCCCAACCTGGGTGGCCTCGAAGAATGGCTCTCAACCCTGCTGTGTTTATTTTTCTCTAAAGACAGAGTCTCACTCTGTTGCAGAGGCTAGAGTGAGTGCCATGGCATCAACCTAGCTCACAGCAACCTCACACCCCTGGGATCAAGCGATCCTCCTGCCTCAGCCTCCCGAGTAGCTGGGAAGACAGGCATGCACTAACATGCCCGGCTAATATTTTCTATATATATTAGTTGGCCAATTAATTTTTTTCGATTTATATACAAACCGGGAATCACTCTTGCTCAGGCTACTTTGTAACTACCTGACCTCAAGCAATCCGCCCTCACCTGACTACCCAGAGTCACGTCCTCCCTGATCACAGTCACCACACACAGTGACACACAGTCCTGCAGTCTGCACTCCTGCACTCGCAGTCTCACCTCTGACTACCCAGAGTCACGTCCTCCCTGACCACAGTCACCACGCACAGTGACACA